ACTAAAAGAAATCTTCGGCTCATGCAAAGTTGCCGCTTCGTTAAGTGGCAGGTTTTCTGTTTCAACTAAAGTGTTATCAAATACAATAGCATATACAATGTGCTAAAACTTGTTTCAGTTTTACTACGTCAGGAACGAGTAGTTCAGTAGGATTTTTTTTAATAATTTGAAAATTTCAAAAATTATTTGGAAAATGTATCATAATGATTACTTTTTTAACTTGGATCGCTGTGCTTCCTCGATGCACTTCTTTGTCCAGAATATTTCATCAAATATTAGCTGCGAATAATAAAAATTATTATAAGCAGGCCACGATCACTGATTTGAAATATACGGAAAGCAAATTCTGCAGCCCTCATCACTTTCTACAGCCTCACTATAATGTTAGACTACCTCACCCATGATACGGTAATCGAATATATATTCCAGCATCATTTCTTAAGTCTTCTAGATGGAAAATGAAACTCTTGAAGAACATTATTTACTTTTTTAATGGAACTATTTGCAATGCAAAAATCGCAAAAAGTTTCAGGATTTCAACTTTCACCCTATTGACTTCAGAATCGCAATGGAATTCCACTTCTTCGCGAAATCACCCAGAACAATTTCCTGCACTGAGAGGAACAGCAAAAAGACTAGCAATGACAGTCTACAAAAAAAACAATTTAAGGCCACATTTTAACTGCCAAAAACTATTGTAGTTAGACACTGCACAACTAGCTGACAGAAATATCAGTAGTTTCGTATTTTCAGAAAATGAAAAAGAAAAACTCTCCCACAGAACGTTGCCACTTCCAGAAGCGCCAAATTGATGCACAAACCTGTTTTTTTTGCATTCTAGTCTTATCAGTCGCACTGTAGCTCACGATACCGTAAAAATACCATCTTGTGATTTTAATACATCAAAAAGAAGTAACGCCTCCATAAGATATATTTTTTAAACAATTTAGAATATAAGTCTTGTAGAAAAAATGTTTTCAATTTTCGTCTTCACAGTAATTTTTTATGCAGCATGTCAGTACAAACATTTCACCACTTTTCTAAGTCTAAGGAAGACATTCTTTTGAAAAAAAGCAAAAATTAGAAACAGCTGTCAGATTGGACCGAAATATAAGTCCCTAAAGATAAAGCTGCATTTTCTTCTGCAGTGTTAAAACAGTCCAATTTCAGCGCCAGCAGCCTTTCCAGGTAATCTCTTCTGATTTCAAAATAAGCTGTCAAATCCTATTATTCAGTGAGATGTAGGAAAGACCTGAGACACCGATTAAAAAATCAAAAATCAAATATCTTATAACCATTGAAGATTTATTTAAAAAGCTATGTTTGGGCTGAAACACCAGTAAATTATATCCTCGGTTTTGATAAACGACCTTCAATCGTTTTTCGTCTTATTAACGTCGAAATTTTGCAGCTACTATGTACTTCGGCATTACAAAGAAGTATAAAGTCTTACTGACTACCAATTAGTTGCAGGGTGCAAGCTTCTTTTAAAGTTTTTTTGGCCTGGCAGATCTAGGGATTATGGTGCTTGATGTTTAAGAAGAAACAATGAGTTTGGATCATTTTTTTGCCTGCGCAACCAAAACTCTGATGTATGGACCACAGAGAGGTTTTGAAAGGCCCAGAAGCCTCCTTCTCCACTAAACTTTCAAAATCCAAAATGAAAATTTTTGTACGCCATGCATTCACAAAATACATCTCCCTATGAAGTTTGTGTCATGCCAGACATTTTTTCTGAGGCTATTTGGTGGGACAAATTGGCCTTACTCACCCTCTTAGTTGACCACATCATCTAGGAAGCAGAAAACTGTAGAAATGCTTTTAATTCCATTGAGTGTAAAGGTTTGACCATTCTACTTAACTCTCATTATTTTGCGCTAACTGCTGTTTTCGTAGGAGTGTGTAAAAGTTTTTGGTATTATTTGCATTATGCGGTACAATACCACAAACTCATTTCTACGCGTTTCTACAAAAACAGAAACTGGCGCAGAATAAAGACACGTAACTCATAAAACTGCTTCTAAACCACTATTCGAACTAATAAACTTGAATAAATCGCTTCTAGAGCTTTCAAATAATAATAAGCTGACCCCGGAACGAAAATACTGCATATAAGAAAAATCGTCCAAAAGTAAAAAGAACAGAAAGAAACAGAAAAGAAAGGGCACGTAACTCAAAAGATCAATTCACAACCCTTAACTGAACTGAAACAGTAAAGTAGTAAGCTCCCAGAGGGTTTTAATGAGCTTAAGTCGTTTTCAGGTTGAACGTCTTAGATGGACGCAGAATCTTCGGAAATATGGCAAACTTCTACAAGTAACATGGACTAGCTCAAGAAAACGAAATGAATTAAAAAAGGATAGATGATCTTTAGTTGAATTATCATGATCAGTCGCTTATACAAAGAGCATTCTAATGACTACAGGATCGTTCCAAGATTATGGAAAGGTAAAGATTGTCCCATAATTAACGGCATTGTCCTTCAGAAGTTCATCTCTACGACTTACTGTAACGACAAGCGTCTGAGTTGGGTAAATTCAGACACCTCGCTATTGTAAATATCATTTCTTTTTGAATAAAGTTTAATTGGGGTAACTGAAATCGCCCTAAAGTTATTTTTTAAGTATTTTTTT